GGTCAGGGCCAGAAATAAAAGAACAGTGCGGCAAACGAGGGAGGGGAAGCGGCGAAAGGGCGGCCGAAAGCCATAATGAAAGCGAGAGAAAAAAGCACCGGCAAATAATGGCAGCCGGGTAATGTGCTAGCCAAGCCTTGCATTCCAGACCGACAAAATCGGTCCATTGGAGGATGATGCAAGTACAGCGCATTATTGATTGTTTCACGGAAAAGAAGTCGGCCTGTGAAGTCATAGCCCGCTAAATCAGTATCCTCATGATTCGAATGACGAGAAATGAGAGATGGCCCAGAGCTCCAGCTTCCGAATTCAAGGACCTAGTACTCGATGGGGATTCGGGCCCGCTCGTAGGAGATCGATCATAAGGTTACACTTTAATCATGGCCAGGGAGTGAGAGAGAATAAGGAAAGTGGAAAGCAATGTCCAGGAAAGCAGATCCTCGGACCATCCAAAAGGTTGGCCCTTGTGCTGCGTCATGATGGCGTCCGCCAGTGGAGACTGACACGAGGCACAGTACAGCGCAATCTGTCCCTTCTCAGTAGCACAAAATCCACATGCCCTCGAAGGATTCTCCCTAGACTGAGTTCAAGGGAGTGGGAACACTCCGTTGTTCGTGTCATGGTAAGATGTCATGCTTGCAGGATCCCTTCGTGATGTGCTTTGACTCGAAGAGTGAAGAGCGTGCACGTAGGGCATGCAACGTGAGAGTTACTGAGTCGAGTCTCGAGACATTCCATATCCATCTGAATTCCATCGGCAATGCGTGTCTTGAAGACATCGATCGAATCTAATCTCTCTGTGCGAGTCAATGGAGAGAAATGGTCGTGCTCTGCTCTGTGATATTTTTACTTCTCACTGTGGACTCCGTCGTTCACTGGCCCGTATCGACAATGCCAGTCGTCGATCTTTCATCGAACAATGTGCATCCTACATCGCACTCGCGTTCTATCCTCGTGAAGTTGGAACGCACCACCGTGTCCTGAGAATTAGCTCCTGTATGCTCTGTCAGATTCGAAGTTTGCCTTTTTCTCAACGAGCAGATGTTGAAAATTAATAATTTCAGACGCCAAAGTCCTCGACAAAATCTTGCCTTCTCTCTTGGAGGGCATGGGGACAAAATCTACAGCGACATCCTTCCTGTTTCCAGGTGTTTGCCTCAACCCGCAATCTAGTTTGACTTTTATGACACACCTGCCGAGGCTTCTGGTAGAAGCATGGTCACAGATATTTCAACCATGACATCCATTCTAGCTACTTTGCGCTAGTAGTCACTCACATTCAGTCGTAGCCAATTTACGAGACTTCTACTCAAAATTCCGTATTCAATGATGAATTCTAATTTTGAGTGCAATTCCATGTGGATTTTACACGAAATGAACTGCCTTTTGGTGATCTAAATATGCCAAACATCCGGTGGAACATCAGGCTGTCAGGAACATATGAGTCTGGAAATTTATTATACCTTTGTGACATATACACGTGAGGAATCGCGAATGAAGTACGTGACTCGTTGGGCCATGTGGCGAGAACCATGAGCCTCACAGTCTTACAATTATGTGTGGATATTCCATCACACTTGAATCTGGACTATGAAGTTCCAAATAGACTTATCTGCAAGTTTTCCTTTAGCTTAATATTTAACCCCGTGAATCTCACTCTGAAATTGTTGCCGATACAAACACCAACCTATGTGAATGTCATATAAATTTGAGTAGTACAGTACTATGATTGAGAATTATTTATAAAAGTGAGAGCAAGAGTACACACTAAGAAGCTGAACTTGTAAATGGTATGTGACTTATAAGGGTTCATTCAAAGTATCTCATATCTGAAATTAGCTCTTTACGGCCCATCTTTGTAAACTATGCCAACCCCTTGTTGCTTACCGCTTGCCGCCTTATTTTCCAAGGCTTTTAACCATTCACAAAGCCTATAGTTTTGCATGTACGAGAGATAAGAATCACTTTCCGGTAATGAGTATACGGACTTTGAATCTTCACTCACAAATCACATGTAAGTTTCTTTTTCAATAGATTTCGTATGACAATTTTTACATAACTTAATAAGCTTTCTATTAGGTGTGCAAATTGCACATATCGTTTCAAAACCGGAGAATTGGTGTTTAAATGTACAAATTGAGAAAAATATACATTTGATAATTCAATACATCTCAATGTGATTAGGGTTTAGGGTTTAGATTATAAACGTAATTTAATTTCATATTCACAATTAATAGTACTACTATTGCTAATTTTATGTTTACTTTCATTTATCAAGTTTCCAAAAAAACCTGATTTAATTATAGTTATGTATAGCTTTATTTCAGTGTTTATGGTGAAAATAAACCCTAAGTCCAATCATCCTTTTGTATAATTGTGATTGTCATTTTTTGAAAAGATAGATATATATATCCAAATACAAATTAACTTGCGCTATGCTTTATAATTTGGAACATCTAATTTTCATTCTAAATTTTTCTAATGTGAAATTAATTTGGATTAGATATCTAAATGCAATACTCAATGATGAACTATTATTGAAATAAGTGATTTTAATTCAATTTATAAAAATATTATATAGTTTTAAATATAATATTTATGAATTTAATATCTACTTAATATCATTTCATTATTTTAGTTACAAATAATTCTAAATTTTGAATTAAAAAATTTATGAAATGAATGTATGGCTTTTATTTTCTTCTAGGTCTATAATTTCTTACTTAAAAATCATAATATAAATTTCTTATAAAAATTATTTTTAAACAATTCTCTTGCAATATTTTTTTCATAAATTACCATCATAACAAAATAAAATTGTAAATGGTAAATTTAAAATCTACAAAAATTGAAATATGAGATTCAATATCTGAAATATATTATTTCGATATTCAAAAAAGACTTGAATGACTTTTTTTGGGATAAATATTGTGTATGTAAGAAAAATAATAATTGTGAATGAAGAAATTTAATTTTAGAAAAATTAAATCTCAATGCTTGAGTGGATGCCAAAAAACATGAATTTTAAAAATAACAATTGATACTTTATAATAATTCCATAAAATTTGATTAATTCGATATCTCATGATGTGTTTATGAATACATTTTTTTTTCGAATTTTTTTTAATGTATGGTCAGTTTCGTATTTTCTTAAATTAAGTTATTATTAAAATATGTTTGATACTATTTGATCAAGAAAAAATAGTTAATTGAGATACATGAATATGGGTTTTAATATGGCTTTCCAACTCGTTTTTTTTTTATGCAAAATGTATTTGACATATCAATGACATTATAAGTATTGTGGTAAATTTCCAAAACTACGATGTCAATGAATTCACATTATAAATTTATATGTTAATGATTAATAATTCAATTTGATTGTATATGTACTAATATTGTGTAGTCTTCACTTGTGATTATAATTTTGAAGATAAATTCAGGTTGATGTGATTAAGTTAGATTAATATTAGAAAAAAATTCACATAAGAAGGTGGTTAGATGCAAGAACAGTAGCATGGAAGTTGGCTCTGATTAAGATAACGTTGATTGCAGAAAACGTGAATTGCGTGTGAATTAGTGAATGCCAATTTTATTACTTCTAAAATGGAAAGATCCATTGGTGTAAGGATGGAATGAAAATGACGAAAGAAACTAGAGATAATTAATCTCAACTTAATCATGTTATACACTAAGATATTTTTATAAATATGAAATAACTACTCTAACGTGAACCATGACATAGATTTTCTGAAACAAAGTGTGCCTAGCTTTCTTGAACCCCTAAGGACGTTATCATGATTAAGCCAAAGAAGGTAGAACTGCCCGTACGAAGAGACGTGGGTTTCAGCATTTTGACATTGATGATGTAATGCTGATGAAACGAAGCATATCATAATTGTTGCGAAAACTTCTAAGTAACTATAGTACTGGATGCGAAAGTGTGATCGATGAGTGGCGTGGTTTGCTTTATCCGAAGAAATCTCCGCCCAGCTGTGGGACATCTCAGATGTCCCACCCAGATGTCACATCTGGGATCGTTCATTTACCTTTTTTATTCACCCAACGAGATTATACTCCTATCACCAACCAGGTGGAAGAAAGAGAGGAATCCAGAGGGAGAAACTGTTGTGAATGCGGAGAGCGTGAGCAAGAGAGGAGTGATTGATTGCAGCTAGGTCGACAATGTCTAGACTTCGAACCAAGGACTCAAAATCTGATTTCGTAGTTTATTAGAAGCTCAAATACGTTTAAGTGACGTTGTTCTGAAAGTTATCGCATGTATGCTCTAACAATCACGCAAGAATTTCTTTCCTGGTTAGGTGAGCAAGGCTGATCAACTGATTGGGGATCTCAATCATAATCCACATTCAGTTATTCTCCCCGCCTTCGGGAAAGTTGTTAACCCTCGCTGGTTAGCTGGATCTGCAGATATGGTGACTGAGTACACTGTCTTGCTATGAGAAAAAGGGATAATGTAGTGTTCTCTGTCAGGCAGCTCATGGTCGATTGGCATGATTCAATGCAAACTGCTGCAAGGTCCAAACTACTGATCATGTTGCTAGACTCATGGAAAGAATCTATATACAGGGTGGGAGGGAGGAATGTCCCCAGCCCATCACGCAAGTCAAAGTCGGACTGAGAGGTCAAGATGGGGGATCGAGGAGCATCACCCTTGTACCGATGGAAGTCAACTACAAAGTCTGAATGAGATTTGGAAGGCGCAGCAGTACTTGTCCTCGAGCTGCTCTGCTGGGTCAGATGGGCCAGGAGAACTCTGTGAGTTTGTCCATTACCGTGATCCAGAGATGGCTGGCACTGTTAGACAAGAAGTAAAACCACACAGCCGGTGTAATGGAAATAAATGTCGTGCCAGGACAACAACAAGCTAGCCGCATTTCTGACAAGAGCACCGCCGCTGAACTTTAGAGCATTGATTATAATCGACGAGCCTCAAACACGGAGCCCTCCGAAAACGGATACAAGAAACACCTCGCCCCGCAAGATCGACGAGCATTAGCTAAAGAGACGCCCATTTCTAAGACTTTCGGCCCGAAGGTGCACGAATAAGCTCCACACCATCGCGATAAGGGAGGGAGGGCTCGAAAGGCCACCGAATCGACTCCCATCGCGAGGTTATGGGTGACCAAATCGTAGACTCGTCCACTATCGCCCGGGCACGAGACGAAGAGCGGAATCTTTCACCCGCCATGCATCACACGAGAGCTTTTGCGTCGCTCTCGAGCTGCGGAAGGCGATGGTGGACACATGATTGACGAGCCCGGAGAGCTCCTGACTCTCACACAGCTTCCGAGGCTGGCGAGCGCCCTCCGCCCGCCATCGTGCATGCGCAACTGCTTTCTCGCCACTCGCTGCATGCGACCATCGGTGCGCGGGAACTCTGTGGAGGCCAAGGGCCGCGCTGATGCTCGCCGGGCCTGTCGCCTTCTGTCCCTGTGACGGGACCGCCTGTCGCCCGGAGCGAGCTCCAGCGCCCGTAGGTCCACCGGAGTCCTACCGTAGGTCCACTCGACGATTGACCGCCGATCGGCGGCAGCAGCAGAGCGCGAGGGACCAGCTCCACTTTCGCACAGAATAATATCGCCAACGAGACCGGAATCAGAACCCGTGGAGCTGACTGTCTGTCTGTCTGACTGGCTGGCTGGCGACCGGCACCGTGGCTGAAGCAACCGTCTCTCGCCAGAGCCTAAGGCCTTGGGCGTAGAGTTGGAGGCACAAAGGGCATGCCTAATTCGCATTTTCCATACGAGGCATGCCTATATGTGTAGTCTAGATTTATAGACGTATATTTTAGAGTTAGGGATTGTGGGATAAGTGAAGAAATAAAACTGTTTTCACTTGGAGATTCTGCTCTAGTCTGTTCTAGGTTTTAACCTTTCATTTTTGTGTTGATTGATCTAATTAGTTCTTAATTTCTATAGAAGTATATTTTCTGATACAGTAAAATGTACGTATTATAATACGAACATGCCTGGGGCATGCCTTTTGATCTTGCAAGGGGCATGGGCATGCGAAAATGTTTGTTGTGCCTCCAATCCTACTTGGGCGCCTCTGCTTGCTGCTGCTAGGAAGGGAATAGTCAGAAGAGAGAGACAGAGAGACCCCCACCTGCCGATAAATCGGAGGCCCGGCCACCGGGCCGGTGGCCAGCCGGTGGGCCGCCGGTCCAGTCAGCGCGAGCGTGCCAGGTGGCAGGCAAGTGGAGTGGGGGGTGGACAATATGATTGAGCAGCGCGCGCTTCGTGGGGCAGCGCGTTCTGTTGAGGCGACTGCCGGGCTCAGAAGGTGGCGCCAGGAGAGGGAGGGGCTCGCAGAGCACGCAGGGGCGCCCAATGCGAGCACCACGAATCACGAATTGGGGCCGATTGCAGCTTTCGCGCGCTCGGACGGGCTGGTCAGAGAGCGTGCGAGAGGAGGGCATGGGAGGTGGTGGTGGTGTTGCGTGCAATAGCTCGCATGCTGGTTGACGGAGTCAACAGAGGAGGAGGACGAGCAGCGAAATTCGTCGCAGTGGGGTCGTGACTCGAAGAGCCCGCTGTGGGGCTGTTGGAGGCCCGAGCGCTCCCCGACCACTCACCGACTGTGGTGCCGAGGGCAAATAATAATACTCGTGGTCTCATATTTTATGCATATCCGTCGCCGCGGCGGGGTCTAAATCCCGCGGGCGTCGAGCTCAGCGGGAGTCTTCAGCCAGCCAGTTCGGTCCTTCGCCGAGGCGGGCTGTCGATCTCTTCGGCCCCCGGACTGGAGTGCGCTGAGGCGAGCAGCTCGCTCTCTCCCCGTGAGGGCCGACCGACTCGCCCGGAGGCGCCCGGCGATCGGAGCTCGACCGATTGGTAGATTTCTCGCTGCGGAATTCGTGTTCGGTTCTCGCAAGGAGCTGGGCGAGGAGAGGCGGCGAAACCGGCCTGAGGTTCGAGGCTGGGCGACATGGCGGCCATGGTGATGGAGGTGGGCACGCCCGCATTGGGCGAGGTTGCGCCGGCGCCCGGCGACGCGGGGTGGACGGTGCAGCTGTGCATGAGCCCGATGAAGAAGGGCGCGAGCGCGGGCGACGCGCTGCATTGGGCGCGGGCGGCCGAGGCCGGCGCGGGCAGCCACTGGGAGGAGGTGAAGGCCATGGTGAGCGAGTTCGAGCAGGCTAAGGAGGTGGTGATCCAGGGCGTGACGCTGTCGGTGGCGCAGGTCTCGGCCGTGGCTCGGAACCCCCAAGTGACGGTCGTGCTCGACGCGGCCACGGCCAAGGAGCGCGTGGACGCGAGCAACAACTGGGTCGCGCACAACATGACCAAGGGCACCGACACCTACGGCGTGACCACGGGCTTCGGCGCGACCTCGCACCGGCGCACCGACAAGGGCGCGGACCTGCAGAAGGAGCTGATCCGGTTCCTGAACGCGGGCGTGCTGGCGGACGAGGCCAGCGTGCTGCCGGTGGCCACGACGCGCGCGGCCATGCTGGTGCGGACCAACACTCTCATGCAGGGCTTCTCGGGCATCCGTTGGGAGATTCTGCAGACCTTGCAGAAGCTGCTGAACAAGCACATTACCCCGCGGTTGCCGCTGCGCGGGACCATCACCGCGTCGGGCGACCTGGTGCCGCTGTCGTACATCGCGGGCCTGATCACCGGGCGCCCCAACTCTCGGGCCGTGACGGAGGACGGGCGGCTCCTGACGGCGGCCGAGGCGCTCAAGCAGGTCGGGCTCCTGAAGCCCTTCGAGCTGCAGCCCAAGGAGGGCCTGGCCATCGTCAACGGCACGGCCGTCGGCGCGGCGCAGGCGGCCATGGCCTGCTACGACGCCAACGTGCTGGCGCTCTTCGCCGAGGTCGCGTCGGCGCTCTTCTGCGAGGCCATGCAGGGTAAGCCGGAGTTCACCGACCACCTGACGCACCGGCTCAAGCACCACCCGGGCCAGATCGAGGCCGCGGCCGTCATGGAGTTCGTGCTCGACGGCAGCGCCTACATGAAGGCGGCGGCGCAGCTGCACGCGACGGACCCGCTGAAGAAGCCCAAGCAGGACCGGTATGCGCTGCGGACCTCGCCGCAGTGGCTGGGGCCGCAGATCGAGGTCATCCGCGCGGCCACGCACGCCGTCGCGCGCGAGATCAACTCCGTCAACGACAACCCGCTCATCGACGTGGCGCGCGACAAGGCGCTGCACGGCGGGAACTTCCAGGGCACGCCCATCGGCGTGTCCATGGACAACCTGCGCCTGGCGCTGGCCGCCATCGGTAAGCTCATGTTCGCGCAGATGTCCGAGCTGGTGAATGACTTCTACAACGGCGGGCTACCGTCGAATCTGACCGGCGGTCCCAACCCCAGCCTGGACTACGGCTTCAAGGGCGCCGAGATCGCCATGGCGTCGTACTGCTCCGAGCTCCTGTACCTGGCCAACCCCGTCACGACGCACGTGCAGAGCGCGGAGCAGCACAACCAGGACGTGAACTCGCTGGGCCTGATCTCGGCGCGCAAGACGGCGGAGGCCGTCGAGATCCTGAAGCTGATGGCCTCCACGTTCGTCGTCGCGCTCTGCCAGGCCGTGGATCTGCGCCACCTGGAGGAGAACATGCTGGCGACCGTGAAGCAGGCGGTGTCGCAGGCGGCGAAGAAGACGCTCTTCGCCGACGCGGCCGGCGCGCTGCTGCCGTCGCGCTTCTGCGAGAAGGACCTGCTCAAGGTGGTGGACGACACGCCGCCCTTCTCCTACGTGGACGACGCGACCAGCGCGACGTACCCGCTCATGACCAAGCTGCGCCAGGTGCTGGTCGGCCACGCCCTGGCCAGCGCCGAGCCCGACGACGGCTGCTCCGTCTTCCGCCGCATCGCCGTCTTCGAGGAGGAGGCGCGCGCGCAGCTCGAGCAGGCGGTGCCCGTCGCGCGCCAGCAATTCGACGCTGGCGCCGCCGCCCTGCCCAACAAAATCCTCCAGTGCCGCTCCTTCCCCGTCTACAATCTCGTGCGATCTCTGGGCACCAAGCTCCTGATCGGCACCGAGTCGAGGTCGCCCGGCGAAGACATTCAGCTCGTCTTCGAGGCCATCAATGCGGGCAAATTGGCCGGCCCTCTGCTGGCCTGCTTGGATGGCTGGTCGGGCGCCCCGCTTCCCGTCGACGCGCCTCGTGTATGAAGGAATGAATGAATCTGATCGGCGGATCGGAGTCTCGTCGTGCGTCGAGGGCGAAGATTGTAGATAAGCTGATACTATATCCGGAGAGCAGAATTTGCCGAGTGCACGAGTAGGTCTGAGAATGAAAGGAAGATTCGAGCCCTCGGACTCACGCCTCTGCGGAGCGTGCGTGTGATTCGGTCGTAATGTCGCCCCATTTTGTAGATAGCAAGCAGTCGTCGGTGCTGGAGCTGGAGCAGCAGCAGCAGCCGCCTTTCTCCTCTGGTAGCTTTTAGCTTTAGTGTTGTACATACATGCTCATAAGGAAGAGCTCTGTTGAAACTTTCCTCTCATAATTCATGAGCTCCTCTCAAAAGGTTTCCGTTGCCTACAATTCACGCTCGGTGTCGTCTTACTCTCCTCATCGTCTGCTCGAAATTTTGAGAATATCTCGCCGTGATCAGATGATCAGACGCAGAAGAGGAAAAGTGGGGTCCAGGAAAGACAATCATGGTTCGTTATGTCTCTGAAGTGACAGCAGCTCCCGTTTCGTAGGGACCAGCTTTCCAGCTTCTCGATTGCACGAGGCTTGGCATTTTTAAAGTTGGTCCTCGGTCGAGGAAATCATGCACACTTGTATGTCCAAAAGCTTACGACCCCAGTGGGTGAATTTTTGCTTCTGTAATCGGCAATCTGCGGTGGCTGCCATGATGCGGTTTAGGCACATTACTTGCAGTATTCGTGCGTTGGAGGATTCGCTGATCTGCTCTTTAAGATGTGGATAAGTCTTTTGCATCCTAAGCACTGCCAGCGCTGTTGAGTTTGGAGCAGATGAAGAGGAGAAGGGATTGTAAATCGTGTTGGTCCGCTCTCTCCTAAGTTCACTCATGGAGCTACGAGTAAAGCCCCCAGACGTACTTACTACCTTCCGGAAGGCACCGAGGAGCACACCCATGCTCAAGATTACCAAATCCCGCCCAAATTTCCTCTTTCCTAGTTCACGCCTCGTGTTGTGTAAAATATGTTTTGTATTTGACCTGATGATATAGATCGCGAGAGACCTCTGGGGCTTGCGCCAGGATGCCAACGACTGATGCTCCAGACACGGAAAATGCTAATTAGGAGAGAGTAAGATCAGTCGGTTCATCTGTAGGTTGATCTTCCGCCAAAGTAGGCGCAGAGCAGTACTCTGCGCCTACTTTGCGAGGTACTCTGCGAGTACTCTGCGAGGTTAGATAAATGCTCGGCTAGATCACTCTTAGCTCAGCAGTAGTTGGATCAGATGATCGACCACACCCAACCGGCTACATTGCAATACTACCAGTGTACCGAAGTCACGAGCATTGCATGCCGATCCAAAGTGCTTCCGGATCGTGATTTCTGCTGATACGGACGGTCACGAAATTGGTCTTCAAGGCCAGATTCTGATCAACGTATGAACAGGGAGCTCGAGCCATAGACCTGGGACTCAGTTCGACTCGCCGAAAGGCACCGTCGAAGGAGAGGGTGACATGTGAGAAAGGAATCAGTGGAGAGCGGAGGTTCAGGAGGGGAAGACGGGCTTTCGATTCGAGTTCTAAAAGTTTAGAAAGCTATTGGACGGGAGAAGCAAGGAAGAAAGGAAGCGAGGGATGGATGGGTCCAGGTGAGATAAGCGTCTTTTTAGGCCTCAATTTTCCACGGCTGTGACAGATCTGAGACTGTAATAGAGATCGGTGGTCATGGTATCAAGGTTCTCGATATCGATGCTCCTCAGTGGCCTAGAAACACTCACGCAAGGGCCATCGTCAAGAGCCGCAGGGGAGTGCGTGAGCGCACGGCAAGAGGTGTAGAAGTACTAACCAGAGCATCTTTTGCCAGATGATGCACCGAAGGGACCCACAGGCCCTTCGGCCCCCACCAGCGGGGCCGCCGTCATCCCTTGGGTCCACGGCAAAGTGATTGCGTGATTTTGTACGCTAAGAGTCGCATGCAGAAGTGAAATTTTCCCTGCTTTTAACCTCGTAGGATTATTCAGGCCTGTCGCCGAGTGATGTCCTCGTCCAGACGTGCAGAAAGTCAGATTTTGAGACTAGAAGAGTGAAGAGCTGATGAGAGAGAGAATTCAGAGTTGACGTGAGCAGATGGTGGAAGGTGTACAGGACCGAGACAGACGCGCAGCTCGGATGTAAAGCTTTGAGGTACTGGGTGCACAGTTCGTGTATGTGCTTGCTTGAGAGCAAGCACCCACCAGAAGTACGGTGGTCGGCTCTAGTGCATATGAAGAAATTAGTACAGAGCAGCCAATAAATGGCGCTCTGCCATGCAGCAGATCTGAAGCAATCAGCGAACGCTCACAACTTTGCAACAGAAAAGTTGCAAAGTGCAGCTGCTGCGGTGAGTGCCAACGAACGTTACGAAAAGAGTGGCCGCCATGAACGAGCGTTCTCATCAGCAGTGGTCATCGAGGACAGAGGGAGCTCCTCCTCCGCCTCATTAAACTGGAGCAAGTGCTGAACACTTGTCGCCTCGCTGAGTCGATGTAAACATGATGGAAATCCCAGTGCTCAACGTGTTGGAAACTTAGATGTGATACCTCATGATGTTCGATGTGTGCGAGCATGAAGTGAAGCTCGTTGCGATCCGCGAGCATCGGCTGTTCCAGTTCCGATCTGCACGATCTTCGTGACCAAGTAATGGCAAAGTCAAACCACTGTCTTCGTCTCACCTCTGGCAATGTCACCCAGAAAGCCCGTTCCTTCGTGCAAGCAAGATGCACAAACCGGGGACGGAGGTATGCAACCAGTCTGGCTAGGGCACGCGGATTCGCAGAAGCACTGCACATGAGCTACTGCGTTTCGTGAGTTGCCTGGTCGTACCACCACTGCCAAGTCTTTGCTGCTGTTATTTAATTGTCATCTTCACAAACTTCTTAATTGCTTCTGGTATGTGCCCCAAAAGCGGATTGTACTTTACAGTTGTCTCATGCACAAGCCTTGAGGCTCTTCTCATGCAATTCAGGTCTCCATTCCCCCGACACCGCCACACTGTCTAGAACCAACGTGCGCAAGCTTGCATACAGCTTGTGCACTTCGCTTCAGTGCAAGACTAAGCGAGGAGATTTTCTTTCTGTTGTGCCTTCTAAAGGGCTCTGTTGGCAGCGGATTGAGAAATCTGCTAGCTGTGGCGGAAAGACAAGACTCGGTTCTTGACGGGTGTGTCCATTGGTGTGGTAAGAAGGCAGAGGTGCTAGAAGTCAAACACTAAGGGGAGCTTCCAATTCACAATTGGCTCCCAGGGATTGCAACGCTCGCGTAGGATGGTGTACCTGCTGCAGCATAAACATTCACATTTGTACCCGCTCACATGGGCTAAAACGGGTATATTAAATCAGTTGCTCTGAAATGAGTAAATGATAAATTTACTATGTTTCGGAATATCACAGCACGCAAGACTCGTCAGGCCACATGGATTCCTCATGCTTAGCTCATGCCACCTGACACTGCTTCGACAATATACAGCAGGAAGGTCCTGAGTATGGTGAAGTTTCATGTGAGACACAAGTTTGCATTTGAGCTCACATAAAGTTTGCTTCAAGTAAAGAGTTCCCTTATGATCAAACGTGGTACGTCGAAAGATACTAAGTTAAAGACTACATCCCTTTAATTAATAAAAAAATAGATCGCTAGGCATCAAATACCGAGAGAACGTGGGTAGCCTCATCAAGTCCAGAGGGAATGATTCTGGAGGTGACCAGGGCAAATCAGCACTACGGGCAAGGAGACCACATAGCAAAGCCCCTCAGTCTGCTCTGAATTTGATTTATCTTCCAGTGTGATATCGCTGAGCTAAGTTCCTTTCTACTTTTGAGGCACCTGGTGGCGATCGTGTACCGTGATAGATCTCCCGCGTGTTCCTCACGAAGTTGCAACCTCGCGGCACAACCTCGTGCGTGTTCGATCAAATACGGTACAGAAGTGTTAAAACTGTGGAACATGTGACTATCATGACAAGTAGTGGAGAAACGGGCAGAGCACTGCAGCCCTCTAAGGTTAGCATGGGCGAAATTTTCACAAGCATGCAGATGATAATTTATAGATAACATGTGCGTTCAACACCTTGCATGCAGGTTGTGCTGGTATCTTCACAATCTAGGCTTGTCAGATGAAAAGACTATGAAGTACGCGACATGAGTTCTTTAATTTGTATGAACATGAACATCTGTTTGAGTCAATACTCCTCAACGACGCCGAGTTAAGAGTCTCACAATGTGTATATTACAAATCCTCCAACAACGTAGCCACATCTAGAGGCCACTGATTGCCCTACATATAGTTCTCAAACCATCATGTCTTCATATTCAGAGTCAAAAATAAGCTGTCCATTGGATATTGCCAGTGCTTCTGCTAACAATTCATCGACGTCAATAAATCTCTCCTCGGTCTTTGCTGCCTGCGAAACGAAACGAATTTGTCTCAGTTACTTTCTGAATCGGCTTGCCAGGTAAAGACTATAATCCTGAAGACGCTTCCAAGAGCCGCTCGATTTCCAACCATAAATTTTGTCAGTACCAACAAGGGTACTCGACAAAAAGGTAGGCATAACCGTCAGTCGTTCTGATAATAATAGGCTCTAATACAAATTCCTCCCATCAACGATCTGAAATTGTAAGATATGATAACATTCAATAGCTAAGTAAATAATCGGGCTCGAGACAAAAAGGATGAGAAAAAATGGAACATCCCAAGGGCGTTAGTTCCTAGTGCTGTTCTAACTGAACTGAGTTTTATCGGCCTGTAACAACTCTTGCTGCAAAATATAATACCATCGAGTGAAAGCTATCAGGACTCTGGAAAAAGAGTTCCTGAAAGCGTCTGAACCAAAAGGCTAAGACTTTCTTAACTCAAAACAACATTCAGCTGAATTTATTCGCATGTCTCGATGTATAATAATAACTCACCAGTGCTTCTGGAAATATGTTTATCACGTCTTGAACAACGTCCCGAGATATAGTGCCCTCCATCTGGAAACAGCACGAGCTTTGCTTAATATCAACAACGATACACTTTGAAATCATTGTGTGGGAATTTGAGCTCAAAATAAGTCCCACTAAAGTGAATAAGCGAGAAACAAAATGTAGTAGTAACAAAATCAAGCAGCCATTTTGGTGACACATCACAACAAACTAGACATACTTTACTTGTACATGCTGACACAAAGACTTAGATTCTTCCTTGTCTTCAACAAAGAAAGCCAAGAAGGCAAGGCTGTCGATGATTGCCCTAAAACTGGTGAACATTTTGGACGTGGAACAGAGGAGAAAAGCCTGTCCTCAGACTTTCAGCTGAGGGATTGCTTTGAACAGCAGATATCCTGTAGAATGTGGCTATGCTGGTATGGCATCATCCGACGACAGACAATTTTGAGATTCAGAGCACATGCGGTGGAATTCCTGGGAGAGTTTTTTAACCTGGCCAGTTTCGTATCCCTCCTCGAACTCCTGCATCGTCTTGGATGCGACGAGGGCCTCGAACTCCTTTCCAACTTTCGCAAGAGCTGGATCCGATTTGTGACTACTGCAGCCTCCACCTCCACCTCCACTTTTACTGTCACTCCCTCCGCAGCAGCTGCTGCTTCCTTCTCCTTCTGCGCGACACTGCAGTCGCTCCAAGCTTCTTCCTCCGACTAGTTTCAAGTTCTTATTCAAAGATCGAGGAAATGACAGGTTCGAGTGTCGGGTTGAAAATTCATTCCGTACACAGCGTGAGGTACTCGCTAGTGAAAATTCTACGCTTGTCCGGAAACTGACCGCGCATCCTGTTGCTGACATTGCAGATAATTCTCACGGTCTCTAAATTCGGCCACAATGTGGACAGTGCTCGACAGATTCTCGTTGGATTACCTGCGTTGGATTGAGAGGAATCAGCAGTGTTTTGAGGTTCAGTACTATGTCGGTGCTATTATCGAAATTGTCAAAATGATTGCGCATTCCTTCATGCCTCTGACTACGAAGGACAGATTAGCATTCTGTCTCAATGAATTAAGAGAATAAACAGATGAATAGTTGCTCCTCGTAGCTCAGAGTGACAAAGAGGGCAACATAAAATTGAATTCTGGCCGTCCAAGCAACGAGGAACTAAAAGGCACGAGTGCTGCGATGCAGATACACAGAAAAAAGGCCACCGATCATCAGTTACACCATATTCCTCCAGGACATCTGCAAGCATGTGGCAAGCAAAGCTCAGCTCAGCTCAGGCGCAATTACCAGGGATCATACCTCTTCTCTATTCAGAGCTGTCACTCCGACGTTATGACAGTTCAGACATCCGATGGAAACGTAGCAGGGAAGAAATTTGTCACATCCAGACGAGAAATCAGAATACTGAATTCTCTGACGGCAGCATCGCCAAATTCCCCGAGAGAAGGCGAAATCGGAATGCAATCTCGAAAGCGCGCGGAGAATCAACCTGCGTCCAATGAAGAAAGGTCGAGGTTGGCGTGGCTGGATAACTGAACGTAGGAGTCCAGGTAGGACTCGACGACGCTGACTGTAACGATGTGAGAAATGTACTCCTCACTATTCAGACATACATACTGTAATGTGTCATATGTGGCAATCCACGTAATCAGATGTGAAATACACAATGTGAATACGTATAAATACTTATCAAGACAATACGTATTTTCTCAGAAAGGATAAGTGGCAACCGCAGTATGGAGGTCACGGCACAGTCCATCGTCTGGACGTAGTTTCGTTAACGTCGTCGTCGGCGGCATCCACCAATCACATCCGAAAGCGAATTCCAACATCTTAGCGAATCCTGACCGTGGATCTGTGCATCATCATGCCACATCATCGATCCCGGTCTCTTCGAGGGGCTGTGCATCGGCCTCGGTGTACCTCATCGGCCGGTGAAGATGAGATCGGATCGCCGGCGACGTGGCCGTCGATATCCCGATCTCCGCCACGTCGAACGTCTCGGTTGCGTGGAGTTGTTGACGCTATCTTCTTGGACTGACGGAGTTCCGTGAGCCCCATCGACTTGCGAAAGAGACAAAGGACTGACTGGCTGGCTGGCTGGCTCCACGGACCGGCACGGTGGTTGACGAGATTCGTCGACCGATTCTCCGAAGCCTTTAAATCTGAACGGAAGAAATCATTCAGAGCAGACCCACGGATCATAAATTGGTTGGGCAGACGAGAAAGTGTGTGCGCATTATTTAGGGATGTAAGTTATGAGGAGAGGAGCTCACCGTGGTACTGATTCAGTTCTATTTATTGACTACTTACTTCTCGCTCGAGGAGTCTGCAAAGGTGGATACCTGCTTCAATCAGAAATTGAGCTGCTCGTCGAATTCATGGCTTTAGATGACAGCCCTCACGGGCTCGATTTGAGATAAGGGGAATTGATTGAATTCCACCATATTCAAGGAGACTTCCTCTTGAGTGCGCATGACCTCAAACCTCGCGTGATCCACTGCAGCGAGGTGATGGACATGCACGACTCTGGAAGAGCGAGTGGCATGAAATGCTACGAGCTCATCATAAACAGAGCTGTTCTCAGCCTTCTGCTGCTGTACTTCGGGTTTATGTTTTCTCGGACTGGAGACTTGGACGAGATGATCCAACACTTCAGGAAGTACCTGAGCCCAGCTTCAGCTGAAGCAGATGCACACCGCGTCAAAGATGATTACCCACTCAAAAACTTGGACTTGGCCTTGGATCCCGAAGTGCACCAGCTTCTCGACATGCTCAAAAATGCCTCCAGAGAAGCTCCTCCATCCGTGAGTGATTACCAACACATACACCCGAATTCGGTACTCAGGTGCTAACAAAACTGTCTCGCATTAGAATAGTTCCTGAAAACCCTATATAAAAACTGACGATAACACATCCATAAAAAATTATTACTGCTCATAACAGATGGCCCTTACGCACAGAGGGGCATGAGAATGGTGATGTAAACGCAGAGACTAATCCTGAAAAATCTTGTTTCTAACAAAGCTTTCGACGGATTTTGGTGAACCAGAAGGGTTACACCCGTTTGGATCGGGCATTGTGGGATTCAGAAAACAGCTGTAAATCAAGAGTAGAACTGCCGGAGAGGTATGAACGGAGGAAGCACGTCGAGAACATAGAGGCGCCGATGGGATTCAAAATTCTGATGGAGCAGTACGAGAAGCTGCACAGGAACTGCATCCGAGGATCGGGCAACCTGACGAGTTTGTTCTTTCGACATCAATCTGGTGATGATGACGACGGCAATGGCTGTAAGTTCCTCGTAGCAGAAGCCGGTAATGGTCTGGGCAACAGGGTTCTATGGATGGTGTCCACTCTGCTGTACGCAGTGTTAGCTGGCAGAGTGATCCTCATTGATCCTCGGTCTTTAATTCCTTCACTCATGTGCGAACCATTCTCCGGTTCATCATGGGTAGCGCCATCGGAATTCCCTTTTGCCGATTTGAGGCCTGATCTTTGGGTTTCCCCAGATGAATTCGTGGCTGGTATCGATGCTGCCGCTGCGAAGAATGGGAGCAACATCACACTTCCTTCGTTCAAAGCTGTACGTGGAGATGATTCCTGGGGACCCACGAGCAGGTTCTACTGCCCCATGGAACAGCACCTGTACTCTCGAGTCAAGTGGGTCACTCTTGGGGGATGTCTGTATTTTCTCCCCGAGCTTTTTGCCATTCCGACCTTCAAACTTGCACTGGAGGCCACTTTCAAGAACAGAGTTCCTCTCACACATCTCCTGAGATCAGCCATGCTTCCTAGAGATTCGGTGTGGAACAAAGTCAAAGACGTCCTAGATGGTCCCTTCACACAAGCCGATGAGCTGATCGGAGTGCATGTTCGTTACCGAGGTGGATACGTACAGTACCAGAATCTTAACGCTCATGTCAATCACAAAGTTCACCAATGCTTGTTGGCGGGCGGTCTACTTCGTCCGGGTCATCATCCTCTCACATTCACTAACTCCAGCACATTAATCTTCATTTCCTCGCTTTACCCTGGTTTACATGACGAACTAGTCAAGCTTTATCCACGAGGAAACGAAGACCGAGTGAATATACTGCAACTGAGCAGTGAAGGTGAACAATATTCAGGGCTACAGATAGATGAAGGTGCCCTGGTGGAGATACTTAGCCTGAGTTTGTGCGACGCAGTTTTGATTAGTCCCATGTCCACATACAGTACGCTGGCTCATGCATACGGAGGTATGACTCCGTGGATCATAAACTTTCAAGACGATCAGGGACCATGCACTCGGGCGCAGGCTTTGGATGGATGTTATCAAGGAGCCGGTGTATTTTACGTATGTCCGCTAGATCCTGCGGTCGATAAGCAGCCTATCATGAAGTTGGTTCCTTCTCTAAAACCATGCCAAGACTCCTCCGGAGTGCAGCTAGTACATTGATTCTTCTTATTACATGGGACTCTAGGTGAAAAGACTCTAAGTTGCGCACGATCTCTTCATATAAACTTCGAGGGAGAGTAGTAAAAACCTGCCATTCATCTCAACACCAAAAATAATGACATCCATTCAGCGTCCAAAGCAACACATTCAAATGAAACGTAGGACAGTCCAATAGAATATAACTGAGCACTTACAAAGGCGTAAAACTTGCCATGAGTTTTCACTTTGGCTGTAGACTAGGTCACCGAATTCACCATCAACGTGGTTATACTACTGTACCTACACCGACCTTCCTACAGTCAAGCTAATCTGTGGGCTACACCCTCCGCTGGTTTTACTACTCCTGGAAACCTTGGATGGAGTCCGTGTCTGACTGTCAGCCTAACGTGGAACAGTACAGAAGATTGCCTGCGACAAAAGGACCTGCACGGTGGAATATGAATGGCATACACTGCCCAGCTGTCCTGATGCTCTGACTGCTGAGACTAATTCACTATCTAGCAAAAAAAAAGACTAGCTTTTGCATCACAGGTCATCAGCAAGCTTGCTCTGGACAGAGCGACAGGCAAGGGAATCCATGTAGTTACTGGTCAGTTGGCTGTTGGCTTCAATGTTTGAACGTTTATAAGAAGTGCACAACAGCAAACAAATGCCCAGATCTGATATAATCAGGAAAGGTCACAAGGGTTGCCGCCTTGCAAGCTCAAGTTCGCTCAGAGTTAGATCAAAACATCACCTACACCATCATTGCAACAAGAGTTTACGATCAAGAAAAACTTCTATTGACTTATCTAGTTTCATGGATAAATGCTAGTATAAAACTCTATAGAATGATCTATGTGACCGCTAACTCCAATAAAAACGAAGGGAAAACTCTAGTTCTGTTCATTTTACATATGAGCATAGTAACAGAAATCCTGAGAATTATACCGCAATAGTGTCCTTCACCTAAGTGCAAAAAACTGATGCCCTGCAAATCTGTAATCTTCATTATCCTTCACTGTGGTACTCGTCCTTCAACTCAATAATTGAAATAGTTTACAACATATTATCATAACAATCCAGAAACGGAGTAGGCAGTCTCTTCGCAGAGCAACCAACCTGTCAAACTTTGAACTTTCCGACATGGTGCAAAACCTAGTTGGCTACTGGTGCGGCTGAACCAGTTTCCTCTTTCAGCTCATTCTCGGGCGCTGATTCTGCTACCTTGCTCTTGATAATATCCTCCACATTTGCGTCTAGTGACTTCTCTTTCTCCTTGTCCATAAGGTGACCATCGCAATTATCATCCATAACTACGTCGTCCTTCCCTCCATCTTTATTCACTTCCTGCTCCTGATCCTTCTCCACCGCTTCTACCGAGGTTATCACCTCGGCATCGGTTTCACCATCCTTTCTCATAACTGGAGTGGTTCCTAGGTCTTTGGCTTCCACCTTAACTTCAGGATTGTTTTCACTCCCCCCTTCTTTCCCTACTGTATGTACAGATGTAAGCACCCCACAATCCTTCCCTTCCCTTAAAGCCATGGCCGGCCTCTCGCTTCTGTTCACATCGTCTTCTACCACGTCTTTCACTGGAGCTGCGTTCTCATTTACCTTTTCCTGCATAACATTGACTGACCCGTCGCAATCCTTCTCTTCTGATTTGGCATAACATTGAAGATCGCAGTCCTTCACTTCGTCCTTGAAATTAACCTGGGATTCAGAAATTTTAGTCTCATTGATATTTGATCCGGCATCGCACTCCTTTACGTCCTCTCGAACGCTTACCTGCGGATCACAATCGGTTCCTTCCTCTTTAGCTTCTGCTGGAGTATTGCAATCCATTTGTTCCTCTTCTACATTTCCCGGAGGATCGCAATCCTCCGCTTCATCTTTGACGTCTGCCGGTGGATCGCAAACCTCTACTTCGTCTTTGAGATTTGCGGGAGGGTCGAAATCCTTTCCGTCCTCTTTGACATTTGTCGGCAGATCGCAATCCTTGGCCTCATCTGCATCAATCGATGCGGATTCCGAATCCTTCACTTTCTCGTCAACAACAGCTGGTGTTTCGCACTTTCTCAGGTCGTCTTCAGAAATTGCTGGGGTATCCGTCATCTCCTTACTAGCGCTCGTTAGAGGATCCGAGGAGATCTGATCCTTCTCCTCCGTCGCAGTCTTCTCTGCATCCTGACTTATCACCGTGCTTTCACCTGCCGGATCTTCCTCCTTATCTTCGGTTGTGCTTTTGCACTCCCTCTCAACCTGCATGGGTTCGGCTGGGCTATCGCAGACCTTGTCTTCGTCTACCCCTTGAGCTTCGCTTTCGGTAACCTTGTCTACCTCTATGGCTTCGATTTTGCCGTCACAATCCTCACCTTCCTCCGTCGCTTCGGAAATGGGGGCAGAAACCTTCTTGTCTGAAAGTTTCAATTGGCTTTGACAAACCTTCTCGTCCTCTGCATTCATGGCCGTGCTATCAGCAGAGAGCTTGCAGTGATTTGATTCTGTTGTACTACTAGAAACCTTATCTTCGTCCTCTGGTACCGGGGCAGGGTCGCATTTCTCTTCTACAGTATCCACTGCGACCTTTCCTTCCTTGCGTCCTGCTGTGTCGGTCCCTCGTGCTGTGTCGTCCTGATCCTCCCTATCCTCGGCCGCAATACTAATGAGTTTCTCTGTCTTCTCTTCGTCTACAGAAGAAGACGTAGTTCCGCTCTTGCCCTCGTCAATCGACTCCTTTCCAGCTAGAGCCTCTACTTCCGATGGAATATCAATTTCCATCTTCATGGCGGTGCTCTCACAGTCCTTCTCGCTATCTTCCACTGCGCTCTCCTTCGCAACATCGAGCAGCTCAACCATGGTCTCATCATCTCCTGCTACCTCAATCTTGGCACTATCAACCTCGTTTGCGTTGGAGAAATCTTCGTCTTCGGCTGCTTCTGCCGAACAAATTTCACCGCTCTTTTTCGAAACCTCCGCATCGGTGGCAGTGGCGTCGCCCACATCCTCCTCCATTTCCACATCTCCATTTTTGGAGCACTCTGCTTCAGCACCTGTGCTCTTGGGAGGGGAGGAAGTGGCTTCGGCCTTCTTTTCGGCACCGGTTTCACTTCTCGAAGCGGATGACACTTCGCTCTTCTGAGATTGAGAACTCAAACTTGCTTTGTCGGTGACTGCTGCGGTTACTTCGCCACTGTGATGGTTAGCCGAATCGGAGCTTTGACTTGACACTTTGATTCTCACCTTACGAGGGAGCTTTTGAACTTGATCAGCTGTCATGTTTTTGACAGACGAACCACTACCAGTTACCTTCTCCTGCTTTGACGACTGCGCGGCAGCAGTCGCAGCTGCTGCCGCCGCCGCTCCTGCCCTCGTAGGTCTAGTACTTTCTTTCCCGGCACTGTGAACCACTGGTTCCGGCTCCTGCACTACTGCGTCGTCTTGAGGGGCAATTTTGGCCTTCTTCCTCGGGGGTTTGGAAGAAGCCTCAGCCGGCCGTTCGTCTTCCTCGTCCGATTTTTCATCGTCCGACTTATGTTGTGATTTCATCGACACCTTGAGTTCATCGTCTGCTGCAAAAATCTCCTTGATAGCCCTTTCAAGCTCGGGATTAGTGTTGATTTTCTGAAGTTGCTCGGCCATGTTTTTCCTCATGGCGGAAGTGAAAGGCGTGATCTTGTTGTGTGTACAGAAGCATCTGAAACGAGCACGGCGCCAAGGTACATCATTGTTAATGCGAGCGTACATGGGCATTGAGAAACTACGATCGAATGGCTCTGTAAACGACTTGCACTCTCGCCAAACAATCCACCACCACACGAAATTATTCTGTCTATTGCACTTACGTCTCCTCTGTTCCGAAGAAGGTGACAAAGATTCTGTGGGGTCGCGCCTCGTATCCATAGTCTTCTGGCTTTTGAATCTGTAATCACGGAAAGCCAAGAGGAAATCGATACCTCGATCAGAAACTTACTTCCAAGTATATAAACAAGTAACCGAAGAAAATCAGAGATTACGCCGAAGAGGGCAGGGTTTGTGGTGGGAGGAGAAAATACAAAACTGGGCCCCAAAAGGACAACTGAGAGCAGTCATTCGATTCTTCGAAGATACATAACAGGGGTGTGAAGGACAACTTGCATGGCTGACAGGGATAAGAGGGTTTGAGCACGCGAAGCCATAGACTGAAGGACAATCAGTTGCTGAAAGATAGACGACTAGAATACAAAGAAACTCGAGCATTTCATAAAGAAAGCCCTGACACAAAATTTGAAACCCAAGAATGAAAGGGTTTTCTTGAAATAAGTCGAACAATCGTGGCACCATAAAGCGGGAGAGCTTGCGTGCAAAGCTTGTCGAATGCGAATTATTTCATCAGTACTAAGAAAGATCGACATGCAGTGAAGATTGAAGTAAGCAGAAAACGACTGAAAGAGACGATTGAGGGACTCCAAGAGGTTGTGTTTGAGAGCAGAACATAATTCAATCATTTTGGAGTTTTCTATCAGACGGCAGAGAAATTTCTATATTTTGGATGCTCCTCGTAAAAAAACAATCGATTCGAAAGGATGTATGCATCAAATTCGACAATCGAAGATAGCGGACGGTCTACAGTTAGAGAAGAACATGTCGGAGGAGACAGGAGAGCCTTGAAATACAAATTGGTGCTTTTTCTGTCGACTGAGAATTAAGACAGGAACTCGGAAAAAGCAGAAACCTGGGCAGGCCATGGCCGGTGTCCTCGGAGCTTAGCGACTACCAGATCACCCACGAGCCAATCCCGTCTCTTCGCTGCAGCTGCTGCAGCTGCCGCTGCTGCTGGAGTTTTCCTCTTCTTCTTATGGCGCGGTGGCATCCTGCCTGATTTGAAGAACCAACTCTGCTCACTTTCCTGCACTAGCTCTAAGCTGTAACTTTCCCTTCAATCTCCTATGTCCATTTCGAACCAATTCCACCTGTTGATACCACTGAGACCAGACCGCGAAGAGAGGGAAAGAAGGGAGGAAAAAATCCGAGCCGAAGCTCAGGCTGGCCGACAGGTCGGGAAGAAGCCCATTTCTTGCTCGAGCTCCAAGAAGGGGCAGTGCGGAAGCAGAAACCGGATAGAGAAAAATGTCAGGCGAGGTTGATGTAGCGCAAACCAACGAAGCCCACTGTGCGCTGACTGTTGGCGCCCAGAAACGAGAAGGAAAACCCTGTCTACGAAAATTGGTCGGCCCCACACCGCCTCCCACCCGCCTCTTTCCGCTGATCAGCACCAAGCACAATGGCGCGAGTGCTCCCGACCATTGCCGATGCCTCCTCGGACTCCGCTTTCTTTCTCCACGCTCGCGCTCCTGGTCTCCCTTCCCTTCTCCTGTCTCAAGAATTCCCCCTAGCGCTCCCTCCCACCACCACCACCACTGCACAACTAGTCCTCCATCTGCCCGTGTCAGCGCATTCACACGGGTAATTGTCGGAGAAAATTGCAAGAGCCCACCAAAAAGTTCCTCCAACTAACAAATCGTCCTTTCCCGATATCGCTCCAAAACATCGAACGAACGAACGAACGAACGACCGAACGACCGAAAGAAGGAAAGAAACGAAGGCCCCAGCCAAAGCCCAGTGCCACAGAGCTAATGCTAGTGCTCCTTCTGCTGCTGCCGATGCTGATGCTGCTGCTCCTCGTCGTTCGAACCACCACCTGCCCTGCGGCCTCGCTATTTGCCGGACTAATCAGCGACTGTGTCCTCGACCGCTCTCTCTCTCTCTCGCCCGCCGCGGACGGATGGCTTCGACGCAGCGCAACGATGGCGGGAATATTTGAGCGAAATTTGGCAGAATTTCTCCCCTTCCAGAAACAACTACGCGGGCACGTACCGGGCTCACATTTCTGACCGACGACTCGAACTACTCGACTCCTCGCTCCCAAAGCCACCACGAAACTGGCACAAACTTGGCTGAGCTTCCCCTTTCATCCCCATTCCTCCGCTTTCCATCGGATTTCGGCGCCCAAAGCCGCGACTCGAATCGCGCAAGAGGACAGGGCCCCGACGCTACCGCCTGCCACGAGTTTGGCCGCACGTGCATGCCTCTAAACAAGCAGAGCCCGCCAGTTACTTTGGGGGCGCAATTGACTGCGCCACTAGAGTACTAGACGCGACACTCACAGACGCAAGGTGGAAACAGTTCCCGGCCTCGTATACGTTGGGGCCCTCCTCCGTTAACGGTCTCTCCGTATCTCGGTACGTCGCGGGCTCCGGAGCGGAGCTACGAGAGAGCCGGCACGTACGTCGTTCCGCCCCTCTTGACTTTCCGTCCGTCCCTCTCCGTCCCCCAAACGACAACGGGTGTTCTTTAATTGGCCGATCTCGGATCTTTGCCCCTCTCCACGACACTGCGATCGTGGTCTATGATTGCGTACGCCCGTGTCCAAAACTGGCCTTTGTTCCCTCTTCACTTCGCTTAACTTCACTCTATTTTCTCCACGGCAAAGCATATTTTCCTGTATGCACGCACGTAAATCAGCACCGATGTAAATCATCCTATGGGATTTCATTGGATAGCATCATACGCTGCATTAAAAAAAATATTATGTCGATGACCCTTGTAAGGAGAAGCTATGGGACGGGGTTATAAGGGGAAGACAATGGTTGAAGTTGGAGTTCTTTAATACAGCTCTTTCAAGTTGTTTGCATTAAAGTTGATACTGTGACGCTAGCATTGGAATAAACTGGCTCGGTCTATGAAGTTTGCATTCGAATTACATATTTGCTTAAGTTGTAGTCTGGTCCACCTAATACCGCCGTTCTTCTTCTCGGTGCGAGTACAAATGTGTATTCGAGTTTGACTTTAAATCGCTGAAGTTTAAAGTTGCAAATGTATGAGATCTTAGGCCGATGTCTTACCCCCAAACAATGTGTTTGGAATTTTGGATTTTTTGTAGTGAGAGTAATCGTAATTGAAAATGGTAATGACTCATCTTTATAATCAAAGCGCATGAAAATCCCTCCAGATTAAGGATCACTATCAAAGTTTTTCTGTCAAACATATACATCGAATCCTCATTGACTTGAAGGTCGTCTGGGTACGACTTGGGTGATTTCAGGGGTTTTTCTCCAATTAAATTTAAAGTAGAAGGATACATCCTTTCTCAAGCTTATATTATGCTGATCCTTCTATTTCAAGAAATTACTGTTGAAGGTAGAAATATTTTATAATTTAGCTATCCACATGAAGCATAGGTTAATAACATAAAGCAAACCTGATTGTGGGAAAGGAAAAGAGACACTATTGAAATTTTAAGAATGCGGAAGATTGACGGCTACACTTGAACAAATCTGCATGGGCTTCATAACTCCATATTACTACAGAACACCCTTCAAAGTATTATAGAAGATTATCCACATAAAAGGGAATATGCACATAACTCTGAAGCCGCATTCACCAAATAGACTATCCTCTTCTTGCTGACCAAACCTGCTGAGGTTTGGTTAGCAAGCTGACAGGAAGGTGGCCACTTCCCTCCCGCCGCCACGACGGCAAGTTCCTCAACTCACACACACAGAAAACGATGACGAAGCAAAGACCCGAGGTCAATGACACTGACGAGAGAGAGTACTCTGCCATCTCTGCGTCGATGACTCAACTCTCGCACTCCCACCCCGACCTTCGTATCGTAACTCAGTCCGATGTGCGTGCTGTACAGCTCTCAATCAGCTTCTCGAACGGGGAAGTGCCCCGCTCGCCACTCGAGCGAGCGAGAGCAGAGGGCGACAATGATTCAGCATCAGTGGCCTTGCAGTACATTGACTCATGAGTAGCGCGTACATTTGCCCGAGGGGGTAAGCCGAGAATTCAACCTCCTCTAACTGCACAGCAGCGCGCTCGCAGTATTGTGCGGTGGCGGAGTCCAGTGGACTGCGTATTTTAACGGCGCATTCACGTGATCTTTCACGCCCTGCAACGGTCAGCGCTCGCGGGGGTGGGGGTGGGGGAGGGGTGCCTCGGTTGCGCGCAACGGAGCTTTAGACCAGAATCAGCGGCACCCGCAGAAGCCTTTTGAGCACCGCGCCTTTTCAAGAACTTCTCGCCTTCACCCCGGCGGGGCCCACCGACGACGGGCCCCCGGAAAAATACTCTCCGTCTCCGTCGTCGTTCTATAATTGAAGGACGGCTCGGGGAACGCAACGCAGTCCGCTAGACGCCAAACTACGTGTCGCCCGGTGGATGCTTGCTAACTGTCCCCCCCCCCCCCCCCCCCCCCAAAATAGATTCGCCGCTAAACGTAAATCGCTTGCTCCGTCACGCGAGACGGCGCTATTAGCAGCGGAAAGTGGCCCCGCCCCGCGTCGACTTTTGGCTATTTGCTTAGCCCCGCCGTTTAGCGGCGCAAAGTCGTCGATTGTTTGATTCGCGCTCACCTGATCGATAATACGACCTTCTTCGTTCTGACGTCTGCATTCACGAGCGACCATCCACCTCGCTTTGTCATCGTAGCAGCAGCAGCGGCAGCAGTCCCTCGTCGTCGACCGGGAGGGGACTGTCACCTTGGACCTCTCTCATTCAAAATCCCGCATGCCGATCTTCCCTTGTTCATTCTCGGTGCTATCGCACTCCGCAGCTTGGCACAACAAAAATGTTCATGATTTTGATTCACTCGCGGATTCCATCCAAGATCATTCGTCGCTGCAGCTCGAGGGTTGAAGCCATCTCCTGACTAGACAGGCCGCTGCGCTACAGGCAATATACGACTAGCTCCTGGGGAAAGTAAAGGTGAATGAAGGTGAAGGTAAAAAAGCCTCCTCAATAACGAGAAAGCCTTACTTACATGAAGCCCCCATATGAATACTTCTTATTAGATCTACATCTATTTAATGCTTCTGTCACCACTAAGAGGATTGTACGGGCTATAGTCACATGTGAGATTCAACCGCTCAGTTAAGCGTGTCCATTTACCATTCATATCTCCCTATAAGAGTCCGCGAGAAAGAGCGATCTATTTGTGAAAATCTAAAAATTTCCTTCCTTCCTCGTACCGACCTAGTTATTGATCTCTTGTTTACCCGAATTGTAGATCTTATTTACCGCAAGAAATAAATATATTGTACTCTCAGGGGAAAATCACATTTATATCCTAGGGGAAATGAGTTCTTAAATTTGGGCAAACAAGACATCGATCTAATCAAAAGTTGATGAATTTCAATTCGTGGACTTTGGACACCGGCAATAGCAGGTTAGCGTTTATGTTAAAAGTGATATACCTCCGTACTACCAATTTTTAAGAGTAACGTGACCTGCATGTGGGGAGTTTTATATTTCTTTTGAGCTCGAATACAGAGGAGTTAGAAATAAGTAGCGATATGACGGACGAACCATCAAGCCATACATGGGTGAAACTAAGGGGGTAACAAGGGTAAATTCTAAAATATCGCAATTGTAATTGTATCAGTTCAAACATTATGAATAGTATATGATATGCACATAGTCGTACAATAGTGTGATTACTTTCGTATCAAAATTCTGTGCATAAGGATCTAGATCAAGCACCTGAGTTACTTCTTGGAAATACATATTTTGATGTTGTCTTTTGATGAGTATGACTTAAACGTGGAGTTCCTCTACACTCGTCAGAACTCAACAAGAAAAATGAAAATTATATATTCTGTCGTTCCAAGAATTTAAGCACTTTATATAATTAATACTGAAATCTTGGAATTAGGTTTATAGTCTTTTGAGCAAGATATGCAATAAGACAAAAAGTCTACACTTCTTGTGAAAGGAAAAAAAACAGAGAGGGAGAGAAAATTTGGAAGAAGCCTTTGCAAATTTTGATGGTTTCAATACAAAACGCTATATCATTTGAAATCTTAAACTGTGTATGATTTGGCACGATAAGAGATTTATTGATAAGATAGGGATAAATAATAAACTCTTCAACTATTTGTGTGTTGTGTGTTTATTGAATGAGTATCAAATTGACAATTGGAATAAGTCAAAAGTAATATGTAAGAACTGCGTGCTTAGTAGTTACCTCTTGAAGTTATATATCACATAAATCAATCATAAGTGTAGAAATTAATTATTCTTCAGGTAAGATTTCAAATATGAAAATTCCAATGAGATGTAATTCAAATTTAAATAGAAATCAGGTTAAGAAAACGTGAATTACACTAGAAACAGATGAATTTTTCAATACAAGTTCCGAAACGGTTGTAAATAGTAAAAGGACATAGATGTCAGACTTCAAATGTATATACCAAATCATTAAAACAAAGAAGAACTTGTACATTACGGTGTAGTCACAAAACATAACAAAGTTCCGTCTACGTGGGAACTAGCACATTTGTAGTTTGAAAACTTCATCAAAAGAGTGAGGTTCAAGAGTCCGAAGATTACTTTCACAATGATTTTACTTTACTCGGCCCCGACATTTTTGTTCTTTCATTCCATACACAACTAATTATACTAATTATACTCACTGACGCCAAGAATTGCACATAGAGATAAGTCCAATCGTTTCCTTGTTTCCCGATTTCTTCCCTTTAGATGGCATGCACAGTGAAAGAAGAAGGGGCCTTGTCGAATCGAACGGTCCGGATCGTCCCGATTACGGGACCTAAATTAAGACTTCTCAACGTGCCGCTCGAGCAAGAGAAGGCGAAGTCAAGTCGCAGTCCACGTCCTATTTTGTCTTGTGCGCGAGCATTCGAATAAGACCTCCCCACAAGTACGGAACCGGATGGAGCGTACGGGCAAACGGACGGACCGATGGACACCGTTCTTCGCCTCACTTCACTTCCTTTGGCTGCAGCTCGTGGTGACAGGAAGAGGAGGATCGGATGGGGGCTATGGACGTTACCGTCGAGCATGAGAAGGTCCCACCGCCGGGGGCCTCCACGATCATACGGCGCAGCCGAGTGCAGCGATGGTGGAATGGGATGCGCACGGGATTGGGCCGGTCCCGTTTCGGGCTGGACCTGGAGTCGGGAAGAGCTCACTGCTGTCCCCTGCCTGATCTTGGTTGACCTTTCCGAACAGAAGGAACCGTCTGGACGAGCTGAGCTCGGAAAGTTAGTTGTGAGAACTCTCAGCGATCTTGACACGTCAAATCTCAGTCGAGCAGTTTTGGCCTGTTCGAGAACTCAGATCCTCCGACAGGACGGAGCCGCATCCGGTGTTCATCTGTATATGAGATTTGACGTTGCCGCTTCACCCTGGAAAGGCGATGGATCGAAGGGGATTCGATACAGAGATGTTATATTCGAAGAGTTCCTTCGGTTCTGTCAAAGCTCGGAGCTGCGCTTTCACTGCAAGCTGGATCGCACCGAACTCCGTACTCGTGGTAATTATGGTCTGCTTCATGGCGTTAATGTCTCGGCCCGACGCCGGTTGAAGGGTCGATGTGCAGTACCAACTCTGCCCAGCTGTGTGAAAGAAGTCCATGAAATTCATCAGAGCTCGAGCAGTTGAAGATGTGATGGCTGCTCGGGAGAAGATTAGATGGTTCTCGACTGCCTGGGCCAACACTCCGATCCAGGGCAAGAACTATTTGAATAGCTCGAGGACTAAAGCAGGAAATTGCTCAATTGATGCACTCTAGATTTCACTATGTTCTCTTCAACATACATCAATTTCCAACTGTCACTCTTTCTGGTAAGTAGGCGGAATTTCACAAATTCCGTATAAAAATTCAAGGAAGGGAAATTCTTCAAGCTGACAAGTAGTATCTGAAACTCCCAATGATAGTCAGAAATCCAAACACCGCGCCTGAGGGTCAATGGCTCCCTTGCCTTCTGTTGGCTCCACTTCTGGTTCTCGAGACTGCTCTCGTAAGTTCGCTGCGCTTTGCTTCAGCATACAATTTGTAATTAACACATGAGAGTTTTAGAGCACCATGCTTCATGATTGCTCTTGCATAAGGAGGTACTTTGAGAGATTAATCTGCTCCACGCAGGTTTGACCACTGTATTAGACCTTAAAATTGGCGTCTGCCTGCACATCCTTTTGAAGTTTTATATTGAAGTTTTCATACCAAACCAAGGTCCCCTAGCGGATAGCACTGAATACTCCACCTTGGACCCAATGTTGTCGAGCGACGAAGAGCCACATACAACACTAGAACCGGAGTCATTTCATGAGCTTGACGATCGACCTACAGATCGTTTCAGCTGAAGCTCGTCATGCATAGTCATGGGCAGAATCACACACATATTATCGTGAATAGAGTCCAAGATCCTTGCAACAGCTTCAAAACTGAACTTGACAAACGTCACCAATCTCGGACTCTTCTCCTTTCACGAAATCCTAATATTTAATTCGTCTCGCTGATTCCTTAACTCTTCATCTCTTGAGTTTGTCACTCATCTTTTCAAAGGTTGGAACACATCGAACTTGACAGCAAGATTGATTTACGGACTTATTAGCGTGACTTCGATAAATAACTTGATTCCGTGAGCATCCATGAAGTGATCTGCGTCTGTAGAATCCTCACATGACAAGACTGCAGAGATTTGTTTTCATAAGGACTTCTTTATAGCGTTACAGGAGGTTACTGTCGTCAATGAATCATCGGATTAGGTATACGGTCTGACCTTAAGAATGATTGAGGGAGAGTAGTAGAGAAAACGCTTGGTTGTGGCATAGCAGATGGAGAATCAAAGAGAAAATCATGTGGATTTGTAGATCATTCAACGCTTCCAGGTTTCGGAACTTGGCATCACTTTCGCTCCTCCTTCAGGTGCTTATGTGACGTAAAACAGATGTGATCGAGCTCAATCACAAAGAAATCGACACGTACATGTGAATCTTACAACATCACAGAATAATTCTCGGATGAATTACTCTACAGTTTCTAGATGTGAAACCTCGAAACCTGTGAGAACCTACAAGATACTCAAATACCGACGAGGATTTGGTGGAGAAAGGTCAATGCCTCAATATTAATCGCAACGAACTTGTAGGTAAGCGGTGGCAACTTGTTCAACTGATCGAACAAAGAATCTACCAGCTGATCTCTACTCTTCTCATACAAAAGTGTTGATTCACTTTTGACAATTTTGATGTCTAATTTACCTTGGTTCCTTCCCTACACCATCTAGACTACAATTCTTCAATCCAGTTCATTCCCATGCTCTTGGGAGAGAGATAGTAGCTGTACACTGTAGTATGTAACATATTTCAACGGCGTGTGAACTTGCAGGAAAAGTTTGCAGGCTGTGATATGAGCAAGAGTGAGAGGCCATGCCTCTCACTCTTGCTCACTCAGTGACTCTTACCATTACCGTGTAGCATCGACAAAAGGTAGAGACAGCTGGAAGCAAGGAGAATGGATCCAGCGAAGCACAGTAGATCTACACCTGAGTGAATGGGCACTCTCTTGCTCTTTTCAAACATACCCACCAGTAATATCATCACAATGACGTGTCCGAGCTTTGTCTTCAATTCATCCAGAGAACGGATTTCCAACCACTTCGGCCGCTCCTGTTTCACGAAAATTACAGAAAATGTTACCCAGGTTATGCATCAAGCTATGCTCGTAAGGACTGACTAATTGGTCGCAGTCTGAACTTGCCCGGTGACAAGACATCATCTCTAATGCTCGTTCATAGTGAATCAAAAGCATAAGTATTTTACACTTGAGTAGCAGATTCATCTGCGACGGATAGAATTGACACCTGCAGAGTGAAGAGACCGAATAAGTTGGAGCCACGGAGTCCTTTCCCTCTCGCAGGGGCTCCATTCTCACCCGTGGAACCAGGTACTTCCAAGCTGCTGACGAAAAGCTCATATAATCCCATGCCAAAGATCAGCATGACTGTGCCCATGAGGTAAACGTCTGCATGCGTTGTAACATATCACGAGTTATGAATGGAAACAGGTATCTGTATTGCATATAGTTGGACGCACGATCCTCACATCTCATCTAGTGAAATATATCATGAAATTCAAGGGTAGCATCTAGGAGCAAGGGTCCGAATCCTAGACAAGACAAGGTTTCTGAACTTTCAGACGAAGGTATCAACATACGATCTATACACGAATGGTTTTTACAGTCCAAGGAAGCCCAATGGGCCAGAGCAGAGGAACCCTTGCTAAACTTCATTCTGCTCCCAACGCAAGACGTACATTTGATTGGTACAAACAATTTGCAGGTATCTTATTCCAGTTGATACAAACAGAAGGTTAGCCAATTACAAAAGTATCAGCCTTTCCTTGATTGAGCTCAAGGCAAGAACTTACCAACAGCCTCAACGAGGTAAAGGATCACTTGGCTACTCCTAATATTGTGAAGGTAGGCCCTGACAAACTCCTTGAATGAATGTAGCACGAACATAGAGCCCTGCATAAGATACTCCATGTAATGAATTGTCCTGATCGTGCAATTAGTGATTACTTCCGCAAACCAATGACACTTGGATACAGAGATTGATTTGAACAGAAGAGTTCCGAAAAAGCTTCAGAAATATCGAAATTTCCAAAGATTAACCCGTGTGATTTACATTCTTCTAACAGAGGTATTCATATAGTTCTGATCCATGACAGAATGCAGAAAGAGGTCAGAGTTCGCTGATTACCTGAAGGAAGCACAACATCGAACCCAGAAGAGAGCCCACAACTCCGAACAAGGTTAGAAATCGGCAGTCAAATATGGCCTGCAATGTGGGAAGAAAAAAAATCTCGGGATCAGAAATGTTCCCGGTTGCCTCTGTCATGGCATGTTGGATTCTGCAGCAGCTAGAATATAGAAGAATTTAGTTGGATGATGGTTCAAGGTCAGAGCAGATTTCATAAATATAATCAATGCCATGAACGAGTTGCGGTCAAATAATTGACATTTAGAGGACATCTTAGAGGGATCGCAAACAGAACAGCACCAAACCACTGCGGGAGGGAAGGAGTTAACTACCCGCTCGATAGCACCTTCAATGCGCTCTGCCAGCGTGGGAGGCTTGAAGACTCCTGCCGTGGTGGCACTTGACTGCTGTACATAATTTGCCTCGAGCAGACCGTCCAATGTCGATGCCGAATTCTTATTATCAGCCACAGCATATTGAGGTATAAGACCGCCATCAACAATTCCTCCATCAGATTGAGACGCCCGAATTCCCATCCCTTTCCTCAACATGTTCGGAGAAGGTACTGACACAGGGTTCCATCTTCGGCGAGAATTGTGCAAAATTCCAGATTTTAAATTCGCCTCAGAGAATAAAGAAGGGTTTGATCGAAGTCTCGCAAACATACCAGGTTTTTCTACAATGAAATGATATGCCCAATCCTGGGTCTTAGCACACGGAGTACGATATTGTTTTGGGCTGAGGATCTCAGTCGTACGCATGCACATGGCCATGTGCATACGAGGGAGCAACACCTTCAAGGCAAGAAGGATTCTGACTGGCCACGCCTCGCTTTCTGAGGAGAAGAGTAAAATCTGCAGAAACTCGTCAAGTTCCGCTTTTTCCTTCGTCTTATAGTTAGGGGACTGTACAAATTCCCCTGCTGTTGAAACTGAATCAAAGTTGGAACTGAAGCATCGGACACGTCGAAAATGAGGGTCTTCTGCACGGAAGGTATGATGGTGTCCACGGTTCAGACCTCTTGTAGCTCTTGCAGGGAATGTGTATCAGGTTGGACTTAAGGAGGGCAAATTGTGCTCTTCTCAGGATCCATAGATGTTAGTTGAAAGTGAAGGCTTCCCGGACCATCTCCCCGGGCGATGTACAAGAGACTGAGAATTCGTGAGTCCAGGTAAGGCGTTCATCGAATATTCAGCATCTCAGAAGCATCACTCGATCAACAACTTGCTGCGGCACTACGTCAGCTTGGTCAAGGACCACTAATATCAGTACGAGCGTTTTTCCTGGAATTGAAATCATAGGCAGTTGGTTGGAGAGTTCGCAACTCGAGAGGCACCACCGACCGTACGTGCTGACAGGCCTAGCAAAACTGGCGGTGAAATTCACCGATTAGCTGTGGTGTAAAAGCAGAAGGAATTCCGATCGGCAAATGAAAATGCAGCAGATTAATTTTGGTCTTGCTCATCCTATCTGCACCTAGACAGTCCTAGGCACACCTTTTCATCCCACCTCTACTAGCATTCCTTTTCCAAAAAATTGCCAAAGCTCGAGGGGATATGGGCTGTACACCGGTGCCATAGGGAGCAGTTGGTTGGTCGAGGGAATCAGGACAACATTAGGTAGAACATCGGTGGGACCCGTAATAATTCTACGACGATTTCTGATGAGTGAGGTCTTGTCCAAAAACGCATCTCATGTTTCAAAATTGTGCTGTTTAAGCTGTTTATTAGCCGCTTGAATTTGCCCAGAACAAAGTTTTTATCATCAGCAGCCAGAATCGAGATCACGTCCTCCACTGAATCTGGGGTAGGTCCAGAAATCCCAGCATCTGAACGCAACTCCCATTCTGAGACAAAATCCGAAAAGGCTAATGGACTAGCAGAAAAAATCTTACAATGCAAGCAGAAGTAGCAACGTGTCCCTGAGAGTAGCAGTCAATGTGTTTGTTTGATGACCACCGAATTGACGAACGTGGGGAACAAGGCCTTGAGCTCTGTAAAAGGCGAGATTCATTGATAGCAGTCGAAATATCGGGGCCGAGCAGTGGAAGCCACAGCCTCAGGAAGCAATAAGAAATCATCAATGAAGTGGTCCTGCCAAAGTTATCCCACTCGCTCATCACGGATTCAGATTCACCTCTAATGAAAGCAGCACGGCCACCATTGGAGGTGTGAGCCAAGGTCATGTCTGCATGCCCTGGCGCATGAGCGACAACACATTGCGGTGTGCATCTCGGCGTACCCCGACACCAAATACAGCAGTCTGTGTACACAAGGAGGCCAGCCATGGTCTCCCGGAGAGGGAACGCTCCCAACACTTGGAATCCACGTGCAAAGCGCACAGATATGCCTCGGACACTACGCGTGAAGGACGTGACAGATGGATCGAAGGAGCTCGTCGTGACACTCGTCCACCTAATTTAGCAACTCACGCGGAAGATGTCGCCGTTCCTAAGCTCCTCGGGAGTTTAGCGAGGTGGTGCAGCTGAGCGTGTCCGAGCCAGGGCTCCGAATCCACCATCCGGCCCAAGTTATCATGCGGACAGCGCTTCTACTTCTACTTCTATTTCGGAGGAATTTCGGAGACTGTTACGATGTTGAAGAAGATGTAGTTGTGGATTTGGGCGATCGGTTCCAGCTTCCTTGGACATGCAGACATCAATCTTCGTGTAGACTTTCGCAGCCCATACTCACGCCATCATGGTGTGAGTACTGTATATTGCCCCACGTACATCTCGCGCCCTCCATCACCGCTTTGATTGTCAACGAACGTGAAACTTCTACAAAGGCTGTTTGGAGATCATGAATTTATCATGGGGCTAAGAAGATCAAACCGCGCTCCCGGGTTCTCATTAGAATCCTGCTGCATCTTCTTACATGATCCGTATTGAATGTGGAGTAAACTTCAGACCTGTCCGTCTTCTCTAGAACAAATTGTAACAATGTCATGTCTTTCTGCCGCCAAGTGCGAAAGTGGTCGTTCGGTTTACCATTCCTCTCCTCTTCTAGCTCGAATGTGAATGGTACAATGGGTAAGTGGTCTGAAGCCTGCAGTGCAACTACGATCTCTCTCTCGCTCTGCGCCACACTTTATTCTATATTCTTCACCAGTACTCTCGCTACTCGAGGTGAAACCTTCTCTGCGAGGCCCTCCCCTGAAAGGCCCTCTTGTCTGTCGATATGTATAGCACATATGTTTGAGATCAACGTGGTACATTCTACTCAAACGACTGTAATGGACCTCAAAAGAAGGTGCAGAGTGGGGGCTCGCTCGTCGGATTGACATGTGACAACATGATGTGGGGAAGGATTAACAAGTCTAACACCTAAGGCTCCTCAATAAGGGCTTAGTTTCCATTTATTGATGTTGAAATTGATTGAGCTCCATGAATTCGCGTGTGCACACAAGTGAACAACATCAGAACTCATGCCAGCATACAAATACAGCGTTTGAACATTTGAACTTCGATCTGATGATTAAAATTCTAATTCTAATTCTAACCTACTTCAGCTGCAAGTGGTAATAGTCGGGAGTGCTTGCTCCAATTCTTGTTAAATGTAAATGCTTTAACTTGAGTTATAATGAATGCATGCACTATATTGATCATGACCCTAACTCTAAAAAGGGTCATGAGCAAGAGAACTCTACTGACTAGGAATAGACGAACGTTAGGACCTACAGGTGGTGGGATGAGCGGATGGAATGACTGACAGATGTAAGAGAACGCGCACATATGTCTAGAAAGGAGCTAAGGCCAGTTCACAGCACATTCCGGAGGAGTTGTGTTGAACCTCTTGGTGTCAGAGCAGTAGTCATAGATGATGTAGTTGGACTTAATCCACCTCAGATCGTCGACCTGCTGGGAAGTGAGGTTCTTGTGTGCAGCATCACCGTACCAGCTGTTGAATAATTTGGTATAGCATTGGTGAATTTCCCAATCTGCACCGGTCTCGACTGTGCAGGCGTCCACATCGAAGCCAGTGTAAGAGGCAACGAATGGGGCTTTACTCCAGTCGCACTTGTCCCGACCTCCACGAGTAGCCCAAGCCTCGCCGTTCCAAATGCTGGAGTAGATGTACATCGGCTGGTACTCGAGGTAAGGGAGTCCTAGATCCTTGCTGTTGTGGAAAACTCGGATGACCTTATCATCCACCAGGAACAAGATCAGGTCCTGGTTCCACAGAACTCCGTAGTTATGGAAATCTGTAGTCGGATCGAACCACAAAAAGATGCGCTGCTCTCGGTCTCCTTTCCCTTCAGCGAAGACATTTGTCTGCAGGATGTATGGCTCGCCGGTCACATTACCCAAGAACTCGAAATCTAGCTCACACCAGTGCTTGAAAACCGAGGCCAGATAGAAGGAAGTGACAGTTCCTGCAGAGTTGCCTCCTGCAAGCTTGAGATTCATGGACAGACGGCCGAACAAGTAAGGATACTTGGACCGAAATCCAGATCCCGAAGTCTTGTCGAGGCCGAGCTCCACCTCATGACCAACTTCACCAGTCGGGGTTCCAGGATACTTGACAACATGTTGGCCAAAGGTCAAGTAGAAGTCCTTCCAGAATGGGGGTGGCACCTGAGGTCCCCACTTGGGATCATTCGGCTTGGACCACCCACCGGGATTATTCCACTGACCGTCAGCTCTTGCAGTGGCGAATTGGATCAGCAACACAGCAGCACAGAAACAAAACTTCGTCGTTGCCATGTTCACCTGCATCCAAGGTTGATGTGGGAAGCCTCTTGGTTGATTCGTAGCTGCAGCTACAGCTTCAGCTTCTCTCCCTCACTCTGTCAGCTGTGAGGAGATCTTGTTCTAGAAAGTGTTGAGATTGCAAAATTCAGAGAAGTGCAGAGTTTCTTCCTCTCTTCCTCTCTTTCCTGAGAGGAAACGGATTCAGATGATCATTGCTGCGAAGAATGATTGCTTCTATACTGAACTGGGAAGCCCTGGCCGCAGCATTGCTCTTGCCAGTCGCCCGTCAAAGGGAGGACGTGCAGGGCCATGTTCGAAGGCAAACGCGGAAAAACGCCGATGGCTTCCATCATGCACAGCGAGGGGGAAGCATTATCGAGGAGCAAACTGGTGCTGACATCATTGTCCCTGTTTGCTCAATGTTGTGTACACGAGCAGATCATCGTCTGTGCCAACTTTGTTGCGCAAGTCATTCAAAAGTCGCCTCCATTCCAAGACATGAACATGTTTTAGCTCGTAAAGTTTGAATCTGCTCCACTATACATATATTCCTGGTTGATTCCTGGCGAATCTGGGCTCGACTGTTACTGTGAAGAGATGCTCCATGTCCTATTACCTTTACTCTCAGTAAAGGTACTTACTGCCACGCTCACCTCCATATACTGCTACAATTCCTTCCCACTCGACTTCCATGTTACCTTCATGGACTGTGAGTGTACATTTTGGGCTTGTAAGAGTTCCGACCGACTAGCACGGAGATTCTGATGCTTACAGTCAAATGTACCCTGTGATTAGTGTTACCCTTGGGAATGGTAAAGTCAAATGGTAGAATATTGATATGGAATTTTGGACCATGAATTGAGATTTAGAGTGCCAGTTCTACAGTCAGTGGTGGTGCGTGGGTTAAATCTGGATTTAGTGGTGAACGTGTGAAATAAAAATTAGAACCATGTCTAGTGATTGTGACTTGTAGTGCACGACTTAACATTGAGTAATGTCAGGCAATTTAGATCCACAAAGAGATGAGAATAAATAAAAACATATGCACGTTAAGTCGCTCATATTTCAAACGCATTCAAAAGTTCATAAGGATATATAAGGTTGTGGATGGAAGTTGATGTTGATGTACAGGAAGATGAAAAAGTAAGGCATAATCATCTTTACCATCTAAGTAGCATCCAACCCAATTCAATATTGGGATATGATATTCAATTCAATTCATCTTGCTTCTGCAAAATGTGTTGATTGCTAATAATATTGACAACACTAGTCAAAGTGATCATGGAATCAGTGATCACTAGCTAAACTAAAGTTTGGCAAGCTTGTGATACTCGAATGTGGAAGTTATTAACAATGTAAGACTACAATATTTTAGATTGTTGGATAAGAAGATTGATTTTTTCTGTTTACTTCAATATTTAAAATGTTGGATTTTGATTCACAGCCCGTTATCATGAATAAAGATGAAATTCTTGTTCTTTACTTGCAAAAAATCATATAAGAAAGTGTCAAAAGTTAGAATTAGACGTCATTTGTAATTTCTTGTGATGTACCATCCCTATACGTCATTGCATTGTAGTTGCACTTGCACTATTGTATGATTTCTGAATATTACAGCCAATGAGTTCTAACAGTAAATAATAATAGAAACCAACCTTCATCTTCAGATATCGATATGCAATCATATAAAATAATGCTTTATTTTTCAAATAGTGTGATCACCTTTTATTCATTATTCTACATTTAGATAATATGAAAAAAATGGATTTCATATGAAACACCTTAAGTAAACTTTTCATTTATTTATTCATACAAAAACATTTCTGAAATTAAAAGAAGATAAAAAAAATCTCAAATTTTCATATATAAAATCAAATTTAATCAAAAACTCAAATTTTCATGTCTACATAATTTAAAATTCAATTAATGATAAAAAATCCTATTGAAATTCATTTAAAAAGATTATCCTGAATTAGTAAAAAATTATTAAGTCGCTTGGTTATATTTTTAAAATATGTCAAAATAAGAACATTTAACTCTTTTTTAATTTCCAAAAACAATTACATGAAGAAATACAATAAAGAAATATAGAAATGTAGAAAATGTATAGACTGTAAAATTAGACTTCTAATGTGGAGGTAATATAGTGAGAAAAAAATTTCATGTTTCGTCAAATTTTTATAATTTTTCTTTTACTCAATAAATTTATGAACGTAATGTTTTATTTTGGAATGTAATTTTAAAAAAACCTGATCACGTATTTATAACATTTAAATTTAAGCATAAGTATCATAAACTTCACTTAAATCTTTGATAAAAAAAATATCTATATATGTGTATGTATGTATGTATATGTGTATGTATGTATTTAATCTCATAAATTTTAAATGTGTTGTCTACGGTGTATAGATATAATTATGACATAAAATCATTCTAATTAAATGACAAGGATTTAAAAACAAAGTTTTAGTATTTACAATAATCTCAAATAAACTCAAATTTATGTATTCAATGTACAGTAATTTGACCCATATAAATCAATAAGATATAAATCTAATATGAAAGAACGGAAACATTGTTTTTAAAAAGACATAATAATCAAATTGAATGGAAACCTTGTATTTGAAAAATATTTTAAAATTGAAGGAATTATAATAATGAAATTTTTTTCCGATAGATCTAACTTTTATTGTAATAAAAGTTAGATCTATTGGAATAAAATTTTGGCATGAAGAAACTGGAACATAGTAATTGATCTATAATATATATCCTAAAGTGTAGTTTTGAATTTATGTTTTCCAAGACAACAAACAAGATGTATTTATTTCAGTACAAATGTAGCATTTTTACATATCAGACTGAATTTCAACAAACCAAAATGAATGTTATATCTAAATTTGATGAAATTTATGAGATACACTTAAATAAAAATTTTGAACCTACAAAAATTTGAATATTTCTAATATCATTTTTTAAAGTAATTTTAATGCCTATCTATAGAACACATGAAAAACATATATTAAAAAAATTATGCTTTCACATGATAAGACAAAAAATATGAGAAGAATTTTTAATTAGAAAAAAAACTCAATCAAATCATCTATCTAGTTTCAAAATGTGTTCATTAAAGGTTATATTTTCTCCGAAGGGAATAAATTTCTGACATCGGATGATAACCTTAGGTAAGTAAACATTTTAGTTCATTTGCTTTGTTTATTTCACGCATCAACAGAGAGTTTGAGTATTTTTATAATTTAAATTTGAAGATATTTTGATGGATGTGATTCAATATAAATATATTATTATATCATTTAAACCACCTAAGGGGTTATAATAAAATTGATATTTCAGGTAAGATAATTCTTTACTTATAATGGAATATATTGCTTCACGCATGAAGGAAAATATTAAAAAATATTACTATGAATATAGATAATCGAATATATAGAAGGTTAGGCCTCGTCGCATAATTATTGAATCAGAAAACGAAATTCTTTATTTTATTTTATTTCGAATCTTATGATAGAAATTCAAAATTTATTTCCGCTTTTGATGACATATGTTTACTATTTTGATGATCATGATATTTAGAATTTAGTTTGAGTTCACCCAAAAAAATAATTTGAGCTATGATATTATCTAAGCAGATGCATTATGCAAATTCTGAGCTGGTGATCACAATTTATTGCATAATAATACACCAATTATGGATATCACTGTTTTTCACACGATTCTATGAGTATGTGAGATTCTAATTTACTACAAATGTTGGAAATGACCATATCTGTTATTGTCAGACATGCCATAATCTACAAAGTATGATCTTTTTTCTAAACATAAAAGTTATGTGGACATGTTTGAAATTTACATATTATACATCTATGATGAAGCAGGCATCATATTGATATGAGTTTTATTTGAGTGGATAAGTATATCTCCATTAACACAAACTCTCAATGCGAGGACTAATGAACAATGAAGATGTTTATGTTGCAATATGTATGAAAAATCTGCATCATGACTTTTGTGCATAATTAGTTTTAACTATAGTATATACAAAAGTAAGAGCCGATAATACAATTTCTGTCATTTGCATTGGATTTATCACAAGAGTGGATATTATTGTTATAAGAAGTTATCAAGAAGAAGAGCTAATTTAGATATCCTCACGTGCAACATTACCTTGTGTATGAATTTGAATAATCGCATGTTCAAAGCGAGTTTAGATTGAAAAAGTCAATCTTTAATGCTCGGTGGATGAGTGGAGTGTCCATTGGACCTTGTAAGAGTGCAAAATTTTTATTTTTTGCTTCATACTTGTATTGGTGTATGAATATCCATGTACATAAGTTATGTGTGACAAGGGATTATATAACAATTTCCATCGTGGGGCTGATATAAATCACTTTCACGAGACCCTATGATTAAAATCACGAGACCCTATGATTAAAATAGGGAGGTATGGTCAATAAGGTCTTCATTCCTTGGTTAGCTTTTGACCACAAGCTACTCTGTATTCCAACTTTTCCAAGTTTGCACATGTGCTACATGCAATCACACTCATAAGTTAGTCCCTGCCCGAAGGAGGTCAACAAGGTGCTTGTCCTGTCACTGCTGCTCAGTATGATCATGGGCATGCGCAATTTCCAGAGGGAGGATGTCGGAGAAGGTTTTCATCACAGAAATTCACAGTCTGCAGACTCAACTGTTCAGGTTTCCTTCGATGGTGACAGGCTCGGAACTCCTGATGTGAATACGTTGTGCATGGTGTTTCGGGCAAGACCTGATCCTTATGGATACAGCTCAATCATGAAGGCTGAACAATGGTCTTCATGCAGATTGTGCCAATGTCTACTCACAAGCAGATATTTGCAACATGGAATTTACATGCCGCGGATAACGTGTTTTTGCACATGATAGCTTGATCTTCGCAGATTATCCGAATGGAAAAGGTATGCAGGAAATATCCCGTGAGGGTGATATTAGCTGCTCCAGTCTTCATAGTCTAGTTTTCTCTTAGTCAGTGCAAGTGAACATGATCTGCTGGATAATAATGAGTGGTGGACAATTCCAATCTCTCTAGCAGTGGGTAATTAAGATCCGTCAATTTGCTGGAATCATGCTAAAGAATCACGATGACGGGAAACTTTATGACGGGAAACTCACTAAGGCTTAAGAGATGCGTGAATCATAAAACACAGTTGGATGACTTCAGAATGCAGGTTAAACAGGAATATAGTTTCTGAGCTGAGTGAAAAAGACCTAATGCGCATCCTGCATGAAAGAAATTATAGTGGCCAGACAGGTGGATGAAAAACACATGTCAAGATCGAAGGTGTGTTCGACAGCATGAAGGAAGATAAATAGAAACTGGAATGCAGTGTGAGCATCGCAGATCATAGGACAACACAGACTTTATTTTAAGGATTCGGTTCTCATTTCTGGCCTGCAAAAGACAAAGAT